CCCAAGAGACCCCCAAGAGGCCCCAAGAGGCCCCCCGAGGCACCCAAGACGCTTCAAGAGGCCTCCGGGACCGCCAAGACGCTCCCAAGACGCCCCAAGAGGCCTTCAGGACGCTCCCAAGAGACATCCGAAGAGACTCCGAAAGGCATCCAAGAGGCCTCTGGCCATTCTGCTTGCCTTTCTCCTCATCCTCCTCCTCACTCTCGTCCTGCTCCTCCTCCTCCTCCTCCTCCTCCTCCTCCTCCTCCTCCTCCTCCTCCTCCTCCTCCTCCCCCTCCTCCTCCTCCTCCTCATCATCCGCCTATTGCTCCTCCTCCCTCCTCCTTCTTCCCGTTCCCCCTCCTCCTCCTTCAGTTCCTCCTCCTCCTCCTCATCCTCCTCCGATTCCTCCTCCATCCTCGCGGTATTGGGTAAGACGGGTTCCCCAGCCCTTTGTTACTCTGTATGATCCCTCACTTCCCTGATCACCTTCATTCGCCTGGGCATCGTTACTGGATGGGCTGGTGGGGATACGTTTTTTTTATCTGCGGCCCGCAAGGAAAAGTCCAGAGGGCGCGTCACCAGGCAATGGGGCGCAATGCCAGACAATTGCATGCAGAAGACCACGGGCGAATGCCAGCGGAAGCCAACGAGGAGGCGCCCCGACGACGCCAGCTCGCAAGCGGAGCTGCCACAGACAGTCGGCAGACTGTGCACAAGCCAGGACCCACAGGTGGGGAAACCTGACCAGCGGCCTGTAAGGAAAAGCCCAGAGAGCAAGACAATTGCACAAGCAGGAGCCGGGCCAGAAAAATGCAAAGCGGCTGGACGCGCAGGCCGATGCCACGCGGCCCAACAGCCCAATGCAGAGAGTGCACATGCAAAGCACATGCAAAGAACCACTGAACGATTGCCAGCGGAAGCAACGAGGAGTTGCCCTGAAGGCACCAGCTCGCAGGGGGAACCGCCACTGACGCCGGGTACAGGGCCAGCACCCCTGCAGCCGCTAGGGACGTAGCCCGGGAAGAAAAGAGAGGACAAAGCAGGTAAAGAGCACAGAGGCCTAGTAACGAGGCGGACTCATTCACAGAGCACCCTGTGCTCGTCGGTGGCCCTCCAAGGCCCACCCCGCGGAGAACAGACGACACCTCCCAAGTGTCGGTGGGCCAACGACCTGGCTGGTGGGGATACGCGAAGCGTCAAGAATTCCTCTCTGCCTCCTTGCAAGCTTTTGTCATTTCATCCTCTTTGCACATATTCCCTACTCATAATCCGCCACCTTTTACCCCTCATTTCTGGCTTCCAACCCCTCATCATCGCCCCCTCTCTTCCTTTTCATTATCCTCTTTCTCCTCCTTTTTCTCTTCCTCCTCCTCTTCCTCCCCTGAGGAGCAGGAGGAGGAGGAAGAGGAGGAGGACGAGGGGGACGACGACGACGACGACGAGGAAGGTCGGATCGAAACGGACAGTGCGTCGGATCGGACCGCGTCGGCACGCAGCCGAGGTCGACCCGGATCGGCCGCGCCACCATGCGCCACCGCACCGCGCGAGCGTCGCGCAACGCCGCCGCGCCCGAACGTCGACATCGAAGCGGATCGGGCGAGGTCGGCGCGGTCGCCGTGCCACCACGAGGAACGCGGAAGCGGGAGCGACCGGGGCGGCTCCTGGCCACGGCGGGCCTCGGCCAGAGGTCGGCTCCCCCGCCTGCATCCCGGGAGCGGCCCGCAGGCCGGGCCGCCCCCCGAAGCCAAAGTAGAGGCCTCCCAGATGGGGTCGGAGTAGATGGGGTCGCAGGATCGCGCCGCCTCCCCGACGCATCGGCGATGCATCGGCGACGCACTGGCGATGCACTGGCGGCGTCGGCGATGCGCCGGCGACGTCGACGTGAAGCAGATCGGGCGGCACCTCGACCCGCATCGTCGACGCATCGGCGATGCGGCGCGATGCTCCGACCCCCCCCTGCTCCCACCATCCAGGCGGCCTCGACCATCGGGCCCCGACGGGAAAACGGGCTCATCGTTCCTGCCAGGGGCCGCGCCGCTGCTTGCACGCCACGCTGCGCAGCCCTGGCCGCCTCGCGCGGGGAGAGAGGCAATGCGCCGCGAGCTCCGACCCCACCCAGGAGGCCCAGAACCTCAGCGTCTCGGCCGACGCGGGTCGGATTGGCGAACGCAAGGAGGAGGAGGAGGAGAAGGAGGAGGAAGAGGAGGAGGAGGAAGAGGAGAGAGGAGAAGGAGGAAGGGACGGGAGGAGAAGGAGGAGGAGGAGGAGGAAGACAAGAGAAGCAGGACAAGGAGGAGGAGGAGGAGGAGGAGAAGAAGAACGACGAGGAGGAGGAGGAGGAGGAGGAGGAGGAGGAGGGAGGAGGAAGGATGGAGGAGGAGGAGGAGGAGGAGGACGACGACGACGACAACGACGACGAGGAAGGAGGACGACGACGACGACGACGACGACGACGACGAGGACGACAACGGCGCGAGCCGGCGCCCGCCTCCGGGCGCCGCGCCGCTCCGCATCCACAGCACGAGGTGGCGCGCCAGCGGGTGCTCCAGCACGACCTCGCCGGGGCCCCGCGCGGTCCAGGGACCCCCCCCCCGCCCCGGCAGGCTCCGGGAGCCCGGGGGGCGCCTGGCCGGGGGCCCCACGAGGAGGACGGAGGACGAGGACGGGGGAGGCGAGGACGAGGAAGACGAGGACGAGGACGAGGGACGAGGACGAGGACGAGGACGAGGACGAGGGAGGCGAGGACGAGGAAGACGAGGCGAGGACGAGGAGGACGAGGACGAGGGACGCTGTTCTGCACCGGCTGGTCTGCGAGGGCTTGCACGTGGCAGCCGAGAAGGACGAGGGCGGCGGCGAGCCTGGGGGGGAGTGGAAAGGGGCGGGCCTTCCCTGAAAGCTCGGCAGGCCTCGGGCCTTCTGAGCAGTGCTGGAGGGCGTCTGAGAAGCCCCGCCGCCTTTTGGGAAGGCCCGCTCCTTCTCACTCCCCCCCCCGGGTGCGGAGGGATGCACATATACCACGAGCAAGCTGCCAGACAGCCTCGTTGCCTTCCCTCCCCTTCCCGCGTGGCCTTCCCTGGGGCCCCTTCCCCTTCTGCTCATACACATCCTCCCCCTCCTCGGTTCCCTCTTCATTCCTGCTTCCCTCCTCCAGCTGCTGCTCCTGCTGCTGCTACTGATCCTCCTCCTCCTCCTCCTCCGCCTTCTCCTCCTCCTCCTCCTTCTCCTCCTCCTCCTCCCTCCTCCTCCTCCTCCTCCTCCTCCTCCTCCTCCTCCTCCTCCTCCTCCTCCTCCTCCTCCTCCTCCTCTTCCGAATCATCCACATCACCATCACCATCACCATCACCATCACCATCACCATCACCATCACCACAACCACCACTACCACCATCGTCATCATCGTCATCACCTTCACAATCACCATGATGATGATAAGCATCATCATCATCATCATCATCATCATCATCATCATCATCATCATCATCATCATCATCGTCATCGTCATCGTCATCGTCATCGTCATCGTCATCATCATTATGAACATCATCACCACCATCACCATCACCATCATCAAACAGCATCACCATCACCGTTACCATCATCATCAGAATCATCACTGCCAACATCACCATCATCATCATCATCATCGTCATCGTGATCATCACCCTCACCATCATCACCATCATCATACTCATCATCTGCACCATCACCATCACCGTCATCAGCATCATCACCATCACCGTCACCATCACCATCAGCACCATCACCGCCATTATCATCAACATCAATATGATGTTCATGATCATGATCATCAACATCATGATCATCACCTCCATCATCATCATCGTCACCATCACCGTCAGCATCACAACCACCACAACCATTATCATCATCATCAGCGTCATCACTATCATCACCGTCAGCATCTTCATCGCCATCATCACTATCACTATCACCATCACCACTACCCGCATCATCACAAGCACCTTCATCAACATCATCACCATCACCATCACCATAATCATCATCACCCGAATCACAATCACCATCATCATCAACAGTATCTTCATCATACTCATCACCGTCACCATCCTCATCACCATCACCATCATCATCATCACCATCATCATCATCTTCACCATCACCATCACCATCACAATCATCACCATCATCATCTCCATCATCAGCATGTTCATTATCACCAATATCCTCATCATCACCACCACCATGATATCACCATCACCATCACCACCACCACCATCACCACCATCACCGCCATCATCACAATCAACATCACCATCACCATCATCATCATCATTATCACCATCACTATCATCATCATCATCACCATTATGACCATCATCATCACCAAAATCTCCATCATTATCATCATCACCATCAGCATCATCATCACCAGCCTCATAATCACCATCAACATCGAGATCAACATCAACATCAACATCGTCATCACCATCACCATCATCACAACCAGCATCACCGTCATAATTATCGCCATCATCACCATTACCATCATCACCACCATCATCGTCATCCCAGTCGTCATTATCCTCATCACCATCACCATCATCATCATCATCATCATCATCATCATCATCAGCACCGTCAGCATCACCATGGTGAAAATCAACATCAAAAGGATCACCAGCACCACCACCATCACCATCACCCTGCCATCACCATCATCATCACCATCATCACCATCATCACCGGCATCACCACCATCATCATCATCATCATCATCATCATCACCATCACCATGATCATCGTCGTCACCCGTATCACCACCATCATTCCATTTTCACCATAGACATCGTCACATTCGTCATTACCATCATCACCACCACCACCAGAACCATCATCATCATCACCATCACCATCATCATCATCACCATCACCATCGCCCTTAGCATCATCATCATCATCACCAGCATCATCATCATCATCATCATCACCATCATAGCGATCATGGCCATCATTATCATGAGCCTCATCATCACCATTATCAGCATCACCATCACCATCAGCATCACCATCATAAGCATCACCATCACCACCCTCACCACCATCATCATCACCATCATCGCCATCACAGTCACCATTACCAGCATCATCGTCACCATCACCAGTAATGTCATCATCATCATCATCATCATCACCGTCGCAATCACCACCACCACAACATCACCATCATCATCACCATCATCATCATCAGCATCATCAACATCATCACCATCAGCATCATCATCACCATCACCACCATCATCATCATCACCGTCCTCATCATTACCATCGTCACCACCACCATCACCACCATCATCATTACCATCATAATCATCATCGTCAGCATCATCGGCATCACCTCACCATCATCGTCACACTTTACCATCGCCAGCAGCATCATCATTATCATCATCAACATCATCATTATCTCCATCGCCACCATTATCATCACCATCATCACCAACATCATCATCACCATCACCTTAATCACATCAGGTCACTACCATCATCATCAGCATCATCATCATCATAACCATCATCACCATCATCACCATCATCGTCATCATCACCACCACCATCATCACCGTCACCGTCCGCATGACCACAATCATCATCAGCATCATCATCACCTTGATCATGGTCACCAAGCACGTCATAGTCATCCTCGCCATCATCATCAGAATCACCCCTATCATCACCATCACCACCACCAGCATCATCATCATCATCATCACCAGCACCACCATCAGCAGCATCATCATAACGAGCATCATCACCATCATCATCACCATTGCCATCATCATCATCGTCGCAAGTTTCATCAAAACCACCATCACCACCATCACCATCATCGCCATCACCATTATCATTAGTACCATCATCACCGCCATCATCGTCATCACAACCACCATCATCATAATCACAATCACCACCATCATCACCACTACCAAACACCATCATCACCACTATCACCATTTTATCATCACCAATATCATCACTATCAACATCAGCATCATCACCACCATCATCATCATACCCATCACCACCATTATCATAACCACCACCATCATCATCAACACCTTGATCATGGTGACCAAACACATCATATTCGTCATCGTCATCATCACCATCACCGCCATCTTCACCATCACCATCACCACCACCATCATCATCACCATCGTCACCACTACCCCAATCATCAGCATCAGCTTCATAATCAGCATCAACACCATCACCTCATCAACACAACCACCATCACCATCAGCAGCATCGGCATCATCATCATCATCACAACCACCACCATATTCACCACCATCATCACCATCAACATCAGCATCAGCATCAGCATCACCATCACCGTCATCACCGTCACCATCTTCATCATCAGCACCATCATCATCATCACCATCACCATCACCATCATTACCTTCATCACCACCATCATCATCACCATTATCAACATCATCAGAATCATCACCATTATCACCAACACGATCATCATCATCACCACAACCCTCATCATGATCATCATTACCGTCATCATCATCACCATCATTTGAATCACTATCATCATTACAAGTACCGTCAACATCCACATCACCATCATCATCACAATCACTTCAATCACCATCACCATCACCATCACCAGCACCAGCACCATCTTCATCATCAGCACCATCATCATCATCATCATCAACAGAACCATCACCATCATCAGCATAATCACCATCACCACCATCATCGTAAACATCATCAGCATCACCATCATCATCAGCACCATCATCATGACCATGATCACCATTATCATTCTCTTCATCACCAGCACCATCATAATCACCACATACAACACCAAAATCACCATCACCATCATCATCATCACCATCATCATCACCATCATCATCACCATCATCATCATCATCACCATGACCATCACCGTCATCATCACCATAACCATCATCATCAGCATCGGCACCATCAGCATCAGCATCAGCATCAGCATCATTATCATCACCATCATCATCACCATCACCAGCATCGTCATCACAACCATCAGCATCAGAATCATCATCATCACCACCATCCTCACCATCCTCATTATCACGATCATCATAATTACCATCATCGTCAGCATCAGCATCAGCATCACCTTCATGATCACCATCATCATCACCATCATCATCATCACAACCATCACCATCATAATCACAATCGTCATCACCATCAGCATCATCATCACCACCAACATCATCACTATCACCATCACCAACATCACCATCATCATCACCATCACCACCATCATCAGCATCATCATCACCATCACCATCATCATCACCACCAAAACCACAATCATCATCAGCATCGTCGGCATCATTATCATCACCACCACCATCATCAGCGTCATCACCATCACCATCTATAAAAGTAGCATCATCACCACCAGCATCACCATCGTCGTCATCACCAGCATCACCATCATCATCACCATGATCACCATGATCACCATCATCAGCATCATCACCAGAGTCATCAGCATCACCAGCATGGTCACCATTATCACCATCATGACCATCAGCATCATCCTCATCATGATCATCATCACCACCAGCACCATCATCCTCATCACCATCATCATCAACATCATCAACATCATCAACATCAGCATCACGATCATCATCACAAATACCGTCACCATCACCATCACCACCATCATCACCGCCATCACCATCACCGTCATCACCAACACCATCATCATCACAAACACACTCATCATCATAATCAGCATCAGCAGCATCATCACCATAACCACCGCCATCATCAGCAGCATCAGAATCGCCATCACAATCATATAATCATCATCACCATCATCATCATTCTCAGCATCAACATCATCATCATGATCATCACCATCATCATCAACACCATCATCATCATCACAATCACCATCACCGTGATCATCATCACCATCATCATCGTCAGCATCATCAGCATCACCACAATCACCATCACCATCACCATCAGCATCATCAGCATCATCAGCATCAGCATCGCCATCATCACCACCATCATCATGATCATCACCATCATCGCGATCACCATCACCGTAACCGTCATCACCACCATCATCATAATCACCATCATCACCATCATCACCATCATCATAATCATCATCAGCGTCAGCATCAGCATCATCATCACCATCATCAGCATCATCATCACCACAATCACCATCATCATTACCATCACCATCTGTTTCATCACCATCATCATCACCATCACCACCATCAGCATCTTCACCATCACCAGCATCATCACCATCACCACCATCATCATCACCACCATCATCATCATCATCATTTTGATCATGATCACCAAACACATCATAATCATCATCGCCATCAGCATCACCATCACCATCATCATCATCATCATCATCAGCAGCACGATCACCATCACCATCATCACCGTCATCACTATCATGAGCATCATCATCATCATCATCATCATCATCAATATCATCATTATAATCAGCATCATCACCATCATCATCCTCATCACAATCATCATCATCACCACCACCATCACCATCAGCAGCATCGGCATCAACATCATCACCACCACCATCATCATTGTCACTACCATCATCACCATCAGCAGCATCATCATCACCATTAGCATCACCATCATCGTCATCACCATCATCACCATCATCATCACCACCATCATCACCATCATCAACATCATCAACATTATCACCATCACCACCATCATCACCATTATCACCATCATCATCATCATCATCATTATCCTCATTATGATTATCATTATTATTATCATTATTATGATCATCATCATCATCCTCACCATCATCCTCATCACCATCGTGTGGTCCTCCCCAGAGTCCTCCCCAGAGTCCTCCTCGCTCACACACACACACACACCCTGCCTCCCCGTGGAGGGGTGGGGGCAGGGGCGCCGGCACGTCGAGCCAAAAAAACGTGTACGCTCGGCGTGCCGCTCCTGCTGCATCCTGGTCTTCCCCATCCCGAACAGAAACAAAATCGGCATGTCGACGCTGATACAGTCAACCCTCCTCCTCCTCCTCCTCCTCCTCCTCCTCCTGCTCCTCCTCCTCCTCCTGCTCTTTTTCCTCTTCCTCCTCCTCCTCTTTCCTGCTCCCTCCTCCTCCTCCTCCTGCTCCCTCCTCCTCCTCCTCCTCCTCCTCCTCCTTTTCCTCTTCCTCCTCCTCCTCCTCCTCGCCCCGCCGTCCCCGGGGGCCGCGCCGCCCGCCGTCACCCCTGTTGGTGGGGTCGGCTCCCCATCCCGACCTTTCGGAGGTCCACGCCGATACAGTCGACCCGTACAGCAAGGATGCGCGGCAAGGATGCAAGGGCCTTGGACGCCCCTGCCGAGGCTCTTCGAGCGGGGCCTGGCCCTCGAAGGTGGTCGAGGATGGGCCGAAGATGACCGAAGAGGCAAGGACGCAAGGGCACAGTCGGGGCGTTGACCTAAGGAACCCTGAATAAGGAACGGGGCCCCCTGCTCCCACAAGTGAAGCTTTGATTTCCCATGGAAAACGCAGGGAAAACCCAAGGCAAAGTGTACAACAATCAAGGATGAGGAGGAGGAGGAGGAGGAGGTTGAGGAGGAGGACGGGGAGGAGGAGGAGGAGGAGGAGGAGGAGGAGGAGGAGAGGAGGAGGAGGAGGAGGAGGAAGGAGGAGGAGGAGGAGGAGGAGGAGGGGTACAACCCAAAACCCAACGAAAAGGGTTCCTTCTTCAGCGCCCCGACGGTACCCCTGGAGAAGGCTGCCCCTCCTTACCTGTGCGGGTCGACTGTATCTCTCGGGTCGGCGCCGGAGCCCCCCTCCCTGTACGCGCGGGGGCGCACCACAGGGCGGCGCCGCTTAGGGAGAGCCCAGCGTCGAATCGAGAACTTTGCGCGGACCTCGGGACATCTGTGAAGGGGCCCTGGGACACACAAATAAATACACACAAATAAAAATATTCCACATATTTTCCCATATTTTCTGGGTTTCTGTCTTCCCCACCACTTCCCATATTTTCCCATCTGTTCTGGGGAGTCGACGATTCATTGTGTCTGTGTGTGTTTTTCCCCCTCCTGAGGACTGTGGCTGTGGACGCCACGGCGATGGACACCCTAACATCATGTCGGGCCTGTCCCTCGACAGGGGGGATATTCCAAGATAGTCAAAAAAAACAGTCTGGGGACGATGTTTTGATTATTTTTGTGCGGGCAATAGTGATATCCAGGGCGTCTTGGATTCTTGGGCTCTCTTCCCCAGAAACCGTAGACGCACTGGATATGGATAAAAATCTGGCCCCAAGAGGCTTGATTTTATCCATATCCAGTGCGCCTCGGCGTTGCGGCACCTCTTCCCAAAAAGTCCACGACGCTCTGGATATGGATATAAGTACTGCCCGCATTTTGGACCATTTGGGGGCATTTGTGGAGTATCTCTAAAAATTTCCGCCCAAAATCCCCCTGTCGAGGGGGATTGTGGGCAGCCTATGGTTGTTGCTAGAAGCACCCCTGGCCCAAGGGTGCCCCTCGGGTGCCCGGGGTGGCCCGGACCGCCTCCAGGGCACCCCATCACGAGGCCCCGAGGGCCCCGGGGGCTTCCGGATGGAGCGGAACGCCGGGGGCGCCTTGGGCCAGGGGCACGTCTGGCGACACCCGACAGGCCCCATTCAGGGGGATTGTGGGCGAAAAATAAAACAATACTCAACAAATGCTCGAAAGATGCACCAAAATACTAAAAAATGGTCCCCAGACTAATTTTTGACTATTTTTGAACATCCCTCCTGTAAAAGGACAGGCCCGACATAATCATTGCATTTAAGACGTGTTTAAAATGTCGGAAGCATGTTCTAAACGTGTTTCAAACATGTTCTTGTACATGTTTCATACACGTGTAACACATGCTTGAGACATCTGGAAATGATTTGGCAGCATGCTTCCTCTCCATTGACCGTCCTCCACAAGACTATGGTTCGTAACGACCTGATCGCCTGCATAATTGGTGAAATTTCGTGGTTTGTAGTGCGTGCGTATTGGCCGGTCGTGGCCTGCAGCGGCCCGAGGCACCCAAAACATTCCAAGCGGCCCCGGGGCCGCCAAGACGCCCCCAAGACGACTGCATGGGGCTCCGCATCCGCAGCCAGAGCCGAGCTCTCGGAGTTGGGGGGACCTTCTGCGCGTGCTGCTCCTCCATCAGCTCTTCGAAGAGCAGCTCCTCTATCAGCCGTCGCACCTCGCAGGCCGTGTGGGGGGGAGGACTCGTCAGCCTTTCCCTTCAGACGAGGCCAGGACCAGGATAAAAACGGGTGAGGGCACATCGAGAATCTCTGAGATCTGGCCGCTCTGGAGGATGTCTCGGGCGCCGCGGCCTTCTGAGAATGTTCCCGAACGCTCTGAGAGCGCTCTGGAACGCTCTGAAACGGATCTCTCCTCCTCCTAGCCCCGCCCGATCCCTCCCGTGAGGGAGAGGACGGAGGCGGGGCAGCAAACAGCATCAGGGGACGAGACAGACCCCGTCTTCGCGCCAGCCCGGCGCGGCGACCTCCAGGGGGTAATAATGGCACCCTCCTGTGGAGGCCTGCCTGGATGCCGCCGGGCAAGGCAAGCGCAGCCGGACTGAGATTTCGGGGGCGGCGAAGAGGGGGGCGTACAAGATGGGGGGGGGGGGGGTGCAAATCCTGGCCGGCGGCATGTGCGCGGCCCAAGGGAGGGGCCGGGGACGTATTGAAATAAGAAGAGGCGCCACGAAATCTGGAGAAAAACATGGCCCACGCCATGATATCCACCCCCCCCTAGTCATCACCCCCCTTCTTTGCCGTCCCCGGAGTTTGGGGGGGGGGAAAGAGGAGGAAGAATAGGACAGCGGACTGCCTGCATGGGCGGCCGGGCAGAGGGGGCAGGAGAGGTGGGGGGGGGCTGAGGCGGGGGCGAAGATCGTGGGCATGGTCGACGTGGCAGTGGTCGTGGAGGTCGCGGTCGTCGTGGCGGTGGTCGCGGTGGTCGTGGTGGTCGTGGCGGTCGCGGTGGTGGTCGTGGTGGTCTTGGTATTCGTGGTGATGGAAGTGGCGGTCATGGTGGTCGTGGTCGTGGTGGTCGTGGTGGTCGTGGTGGTCGTGGTGGTCGTGGTGGTGGTCGTGGTGGTCGTGGTGGTCGTGGTGGTCGTCGTGGTGGTCGTGGTGGTCGTGGTGGTCGTGGTGGTGGTGGTGGCGGTCGTGGTCGCGGTGGTGGTGGTCGTGGTGAACGTGGCGGTGGTCGTGGTGGCGGTAAGCGTGCGCACATGGGAGGAGGCGGGGAGAGCGGGCATGCGGGAGCGGGCTGCCCGCCGCCCGCCGGCCGCCCGCCGGGCCCGCGGCCTGGGGCGCCCTCTGCACTGCCCTGCCCCGCGCGCCGCCGCAGGGCCAGCACTAGGCTTGGGTCGGGCCTGTCCCCCCTACCGGGGAATTTTGGGGCGAAAGACTAAC